TCTCACAAGAGGAAGGAATACTCTCTATCAAGGAAAGGAATCATGAAGACTCTACTCTCACTCTTCTGTCTGGTTACTTACCTCACCTGTGCTCTCAGGTATGTTACTACACTATCAAATCAATGTTACTTTTCTCTTGTACATGCAGTGCTAATGGCTGGCCAGTCTCTCTTGACATGGCTTGTAATAAAGCTCTTTCTGCAGTTGCTTGCTCTTTTGAGTTTACCAACAATGCAAATGAGGATCTTTATCTACTCAAACGTAACACTCCTCTTGAAGGACTCAGATCTCAATTTGTCTCTGTCTCTCTTGATGGTCATCCATTACAATATGAAGGAATCATCATGTATAGTCTCCCTCCTACAAAGGATGAGTTTGTTCTCTTGAAGGCAGGTGAGAGTATTTCTGCCTCAGTCCAAATCACTGATGCCTTTAGCATTGATACTGATGGTCTCTACACTGTACAATACAGTAGACCTTTACAGTATCTGTCAGTGAATGAGATGAGTGCAATGTCTCTTGATCAGCTCAGGGAATCGGTTGTACGTAAATCTGTTCACATTCATTTGGAAGACACTTCTCTTCTCTTGAAACCAAAGGAGGAAGGTGATGCAGAAATTGAATACACTGTCCACCTTGAAGCCTGCGGCAGTGCTACTTTTAAAAATGGTGATGTTAACAACAGTCAAACACTAGATGCTCATAAGAGGCTCTGCTCTGGATGTGGTAAAGCTAAAGATGGAGTTGGTAACAATAATGTATATCGTACATGGTTTGGTGCATACACATCTAGCAGGGCTAACACAGTTAAAGGTGTGTACCAGGATATAAGAGATGATATAACAAGCAAAAATTGCATTTACTACAATAATGGTCCACTTTGCCGCTCCAATTCTTATGCCTACACATACATGACTGGTACTACTGTGTACCTCTGTACCATATATTACAGGGATCCAACATATTGCAGTAAGACTGGTGAGAGCAAGGAAGGTACACTGCTTCACGAATGGTCTCATCCTTATGGCCAACGTGATGATGTTGTTTACGGTCGGTCCAATTGCAAGAATTTAGCCAAGAGTAAGCCAGATGATGCTGTCAGGAATGCTGATACTTACCTGTATTACTATTGTGATCTGCAGTAAGGAGCTCATCAGCTAAAAGCCAAGAACTTTAGGACTCATGCAACACTATAGGACATGCACAGTTTATTTTTGCTGCTTTAGGCCTTTTTGCTTACATGTAAATGTTACATTTTTTGATTAATTAATATTATTCTTGGCTTTAATAATAAAATGTCATAAATTTTCAAGAACAAAGTGAACAAAGTAGAGTATCAATTGTTAAAGATGCTTGCTGAAATTACAAATTTGCATAATCAACAATTAACATGAATTAAAAGACAGAGAAAAGTTAATGTTTTCAATCTAATGAACACAGGATAGCCTCTATACTGAGAACAAGTTGAACAGCTTATAAAGGAGGCATACTATACTGACACAGCACTATTCTTTGAAAATAAGTTCAGGCTGAAAATATCCCAATACAAATTGGTTTACAATGAGGGAAAAGAACAAACAGTATTACCAGTGTACTTCATACAGCATGTATCATAGATGAACTAACTTGGAAGACACTTCAGCTGTTGAAATTCTAAGTATACAGTCATATAGGTTATACAAAGAGTAGACCTTTTGTTCATGTCGTGAATCTAGTTTTAATTGCCAATTGTAAGAATTTGGCCACCACTGCATAGATCAATGAACTGATCAGCAATGAAAGTAGAATTCATAATCATCAATCATAATATAACTACAGTAGACAATCTTTGAAAAATTTTTCTATGAAACTTGCTCATAAATTAATATTTACCTGGGCTAATTTTTAATGGAGTTGCTTTAAAATTTGGTGAATTTAAAGTGAGCAGAAAAACAACAGACAATGGTAGAGCAAATGAACAAGCCTGCATTAGTGAAAACCTAATCACATTTGTACCAAATGTAAGTATCAACCATTAAATTATATCAAATAATTTATTTATTCAATTGATTAACAATTAATATCATTAGTGTGCGAATCAAGTACACACCTTCAAACCACACTCCCTATCTCCTCTCTACTAGTTATGGTGCAGCTGTAAAATCAGGTTTCGTTCCTTTCTGCTCCGAGTAAGCCTCTGCATGATGGGTCTCTTCTTTTGGCTCAGCCACACTGACTTGATCAGGGAGAGGCTTACGAGGCCCCATCTTACCAGTGGGGTCATGGGGAAGCATGATCTGTACTTTGATACCTAGTACACCTTTTAATAGATAGGGAGAGAGGGAGAGGAGGGAGAGAGGAGAATCAATGAAAGACACAGCAACACTGGAGCCTGTTACTTGTAGAATATGTCACATTTTTGTCATGAAATAAAATAAAAATGGAGTCATTATTGCAGTTTAGGGCCAGGTAAGGTTCACAGTTCACATACAAGTGTTATACTTTTACACTAGCTTCTTTAACTGAGCCAGCCCTGTTTAATGGGCCAGCACAGTTTCATTTGATGGTGTAGACAGTAACCAAACTGAGCTGAAGTGAGCTGAACCAAACCAGGCCAGCATGGTTAGTACAGCAGGGCCAGCTCAGCCTGGCTCAGCACAGTTTGGCCCACTTATGTAGTGTAAACGTAGTATAAATTGTGTGAGCCAATCTATTAGTGCTATGAAGTTGGCACAAAAATGGTCAAATTTGGATTCTGTGTTGCCTTTTGTGGAAAACTTAAACCAGACTTAATTCTTTCATCAACAGAAATCAGCAGCAACAGAATAAGCTAAGTTAGGCCATATTCTTTACATGACATGTACGTGTATACACAAAAGCTAGTTTTGAGACTCATTTATTGGGTGAAATACAGAAATCATACAAATTACATACATCATCATCATTCATTATATTTACCTTGTCTGAGGTGAACGTGTGTCACTGCATTATCAATGTAGTGTCTGGTTGGGTTGCCAGCATGAATCATGAGACCATCAGTGAACTTCATACTCTTTGCCCTCTGCCCCCTCAGCTTACCAGAGACTATTACAGTGCATCCTTTAGCTCCAGACTCCATTATGAACCTCAACACGCCATAACAAGCTCTAGGATAATAGTAAAAATAGTAATACGTTAACAGTAGTGGTCCTAGTGGATTTTTACATAATTGTTGAAGTTGCTTTAAAATGGGACAAAAGTCCTTATACTATAGATAGTACGGTAATGGGCCAAATTTTGCCAAAAATAAAAAGGTGTCAATTCTCCATTTTTATTACATTTTTAGATGCATATACATGTACTTATGTTGCGTAGAAAGTTTGAGCTGATTCCAATCAAAATTAGATTTTTTACTAATTCTTAAAGTTGCTCCAAAATCGAGCTCAAGTCCCTGTACTATAGTACAGGGATTTTGACCAAATTTCGCCAGAAATAAAAAGGTGTGAATTCTCCATTTTTATTACATTTTTAGATGCATATACATGTACTTATGTTGTGTAGAAAGTTTGAGCTGATTCTTATCAAAACTGGATTTTTTACTAATTCTTAAAGTTGCTCCAAAATCGGGCCAAAGTCCCTGTACTATAGTACAGGGACTTTTGTCAAAAAGGCAAGAAGAAAATTCTCACATTTTTAAATGAAAAACCTTCAATTTGAGTGGCTTTATCATAATGATAATAACAACACAATTCTTGTATTTGGTCCTCACCTCCTAACGGCTAGTCCTCCAATCAGTTTATACCTCAATGACTCACACTGGGCTATGGCACAGAGCCCCCTAGCAGCAACCTTCTCCGCATACAACTAATGGAGGGAGGGAGGGAAAAGAGGCTGGTAATTACCTGATAAATATGGCTACTTTGTAGCATTTTAAAGATATTGGGTCATTGGCATCAGCTCATTATTATTGAACTCATTAATTTACACGTCAGTGATGTCACTTTAATTATTATTCAGCGTTTTATCAATATCTCAATGTACGCTATTAAAAGCAGTCTTCTCACTTCAACAGTTCCTTCGGGAAAGCTAAACCTCTTCTGGACAACAGCCGTCAGCTCACGTATCCTACGTCCTTTCTCTCCCAACACATTTTGTGTCCTCGTGGCCAGAATTATAATTTCTGTTCTAGTGGGCGTCACACGGACCTCCACACCACTGTAGCCATCTTCGGCCAACTCTTTGGAAAGGAAAGCGTTTAATTCAGCTTTAAAAACACCATCAGCGACAAACTGAGGAAGAGAGAGAGAAAGAAAGGACAGATGATACAGTAATTAGCTGCGGACAGTGGGAATTCATTTACAAACAATGATAATACTAAACAATAAAGATTTAATATGTTTTTTAAAAGATATAGTTTCCTATACATGGAGACCGTTTTCAAGATTAATACAGATACAACTCACCTTTCTTTTTTTGCTCAGGGTAGACATATTGTTAACCAAAAGAAAGGGACTACACGAGGGAAGCTGGAATGAGCATGCGTGAACAAATCAATTAATTAATGGGCGTGGTTTTCTAGTTGCTTTATGGGTGTGGCTCAGTCTCACTGCAGCAAGAAAGTGAAATTAAAGAAATCAAGAAAGAAGAGGAATTATGAGTTTCGTACAGGTTAGACCCAGTTCTGGCGGCGGTAGTGGATCATTAGCAGCTGAGAGGACCCCATTCTATGGCGCCAGAATACCAGACGAAGTGAAACTGATGTTCAAGGCCATGAAAGGCAGTGATGCTGCCACTGTCAAAAAGATACTGAAATGTATATTTATTAACTAGTAGATCTACCCAATCTTTATAAACCTGCTCTTTTTCCCTCCTTATTAGTTGTGAGTCAGTCGTTAGAGGCTTCTTCTTCTTCTACTGGTGATTCTTCTCTCTCTGAGTCCTTCCTCTCTCTCTCTACTCCTAAATCAACTGAAGAGACTAACAGGATCATCTACTCTGGACTGGCTCTTTTAATAAAACTAGCTATACGTCATCCTAACCTGAAACAAGAGGTAGGCCTGGATTATTACTTAATTTATTTATTTATTTTATTTTAGAATTTCAAGGATGATTTGGCTCAGATTAAGTAATGCAATACCTTAATTGACTTAATTAATTAATGATCAATTAATTAATAATAGGATTCCTGCAGAAGTTATTACAGATATTAGCAGCTTAGTGTTTGGGAAAAGGTACAAAATAACATATTATTTTATTTTAGAAATTTGGCAATTTTCACCTCAAATTCTACATTTTTCTGTGTAGAAGTCAGAGAATCAAAGAATCTTTAAAAGAGAAGATGGTTAGATTCCCTCAACTTGAGTCCCTGAAATGGAGAGTTGATGTTACCATATCAAACAGGTTAGGAGGAGAGGGGGTTGGTCAGAACCTCTTCTCATCACTTGTAATATTACAAGTTAAAAATTGAATTGGAATTTTATTTTTTTCAGTTCACTCAATCGGGTCCTGGAGCCTTCAGTTCTGATGGAAATGAAACTATCAAACGGAAACATTAAAACTTTTGAGGTAACTTTTCTACATGTACTTATGTTGAGTAGAAAGTTTGAGCTGATTTCAATCAAAATTGGAAGCTTTAAAGCCGCTCCAAAGACCATGTATGGTCATGAAGAAGCTAACAAATTTAAAGGTTATTTCTTTGCTGGCTAGAATACATGTTCATATCTCTATTGTAAAGGATTATTATTATTATTAGGTATCAGCCAGCCGGTTTCATGAGCTAAGATACAGTGTTGCTTTTGTACTCAAAGAAATGGAAGAAATGGAGAAAAGAAATATCATTAAACGAGACTGAAAAACAAGAATAATAATAATTATTATATATTATTAATTAATGATGCAGCAATTATGATAAATAAATAATAACACAAAACACATAAATATGGACAACAACTCAATAATATACAGATCAGTTAATTAACTAGTGATTAATTAACAACTAGTTAATTAACCACTAGTTAATTAAGATGGGAGTGGCAATATTTCCTTGAGTAGTCTCAGCCGCTCCCTCAATGAGGTACACTGCAGAAACTCTAGCTTGCTTCGTACAGTCACGGGCATGGCATTAACGAACCACCAGACCCAAAGGGGACCATCGTGAGAAGTAGGAGGATCATTAATGTTTGGAGGACATGTGGTCATAGCTTGGAGTATCATTAACTGGAAGAAAATAAAATAATAATAATAATAATAATAATAATAATATTATTATTGTTAATAAATATTATTATTGTTAATAATAATAATAACGTACTCTTGTGAAAAGAGGCAGTGCTTGTAGCCACTTGTTGCAATGCTCATACACTTCAACCTGGAGGGCATCAAGTGATTCTAAATGAAAGACAATAATCATAAGAACATTTAATTGTTTTTGAAATGGCCGTAACTTGAAAAATTGAAGTCGGAATCACCTCAAACTTTCTACACAGCATAAGGGCATTAATATGTATCAGAAAATTTAATAAAAATTCAGGGTGATTTCGCAGCCATTTTTTGGAAAAAAACCATGGGCTATAGCCTTGGGAATTTTCCAGAATTTTGGCATTTTCTTGAAATGGCCATAACTCGAAAAATTGAAGTCAGAATCACCTCAAACTTTCTACACAGCATAAGAACATCAATATGTATCAGAAAATGTAATAAAAATTTGGGGTGATTTTGGACCCATTTTTTGGAAAAAACCATGGGCTATAGCCTTAAAAAAATAATAGCAATGATCTCAAAATAATAATTAATTAAAAAATTTATATTATCTCACCTTGATCTGGGTCCACCTCGTCGCTAAGGAACTGTATCCTAGCAACAGCGTACCCATCCCTAGTGCTCCTCTCTATTACCCTAAACCTTCTCTCTCCGACTGTGGTAACGAGACTCCGCCCATCAGGAGTGTACTCCAATGAACTGATGAATAACACTGTACCATAATCAACATAGGTATTACTATAAAATAATAATAATTATTATAAATTAATAAAATAATTATAAAAATTAATAATAATAAAATTTATTTAAATAATAAAATATAATTGTTGGTGATATTTAAATTGTTTCATAATTTGGCTAATTTTTTGGTGATTTAATTCGACAAATAATTCACAAATAGTTAAATTAAAATTCCTCCAGTGTATTTCATGCAGCAATTAAAATAATGATATAACAATTATCAAACAATGAGAATTATTTGTTAAAAAACAAAAACAGAAAAATACTGTGGTTTTATTCTAATTAATGGAATTAAAGCTAAATATTACTCCTTAAAAGCAATTCCTTATAGCAGGAAATTTTGGAGAGAGTTAAATTTGGTGAGTTGCTAAATTTTGGGTATTGATGAATTTTGGTGAGTTTGTGGCCACGTGTCATTGAGCATGCGCATAATGGCTGAAAATGATGGATTTTTCTTTTTGCAAATGTCTATCAAAATGCCGAATTCGCCAAATTAAACTACCTCTAAAACTTCCTTCTATAGAATATTCCCTCCTATTATAACTACATGACTCCATCTTTTTCATAACTCACCATTCTCTGTCTAAAGGGGTACACATCCCAAACCTCCGACTGTTGGTCTCAATGCAGCGTCTCATCATGAGTCTGTACTTTGGTTCAAAAATATGCAAGGGGCAGGTCATGGCTGGGAAGGTCATCGTACACACGAATATCGGGAGAGGCTCGTCTTCAGTAATACCAATCCTGTTATGAGAGGGGGAGACAGGAGAAAATGACATATACTATGTATACAACATAGCAAGATGCTTTCATGGCCCAAAAATTTCATCCAACAATCCATTTTGCTGTTTTAATTGTCACAATTTTTCTGCCTTTTGGCCATATTGGACCGTATTGAATTAAATTTTACGGATGCTTTTTTCATAAATTTTTAATAAATTGCAAAATTCACAATAATTTTGGGCCACAAAAGAGTCTAGTACATGTACATGTATTAGTGTCAGGTAAAAGGGGCGGGTCAGTGGGTGTGGTTACTTTGATAGCCTTATTCTCTCTGCTACAAAGACTGATTTCTTTTCTTCGTAAAGTGTCGAAAATAAATGTTGAATAATGGACTCCAAAGTAACGTCAATACACTACAATAATAATAATAATAAATTAATAATTAATAATGATAATAATAATAATAATAATAAATTAATAATTAATAATGATAATAATAATGAAAAATTAATTAATTACCATTTGTCCTGATGATTGTGTATGCTGTATAAACATCTAAAAATAAACAAACAAATAAATAATAAATAATAATAATAAATATTGATATATACAAGCAGATGTACCTCTCCCAGTGAAGCCCTGCAGACAGGACAATATGGTGAATGGTCAAAGAGACGAGCCAAACAATCACGACAGAACGAATGACCACAAGGAACTGTCACTGGCTGAAACAACAAACTAAAGAATAATAAATAATAATACTTGATAATTAATACTTTAAATAATAAAATAGTACTAACATGTATAGGTCTCTGTATTAAGGACCTGTCCTTAATACAGAGGTGTCCTCATTTCAGAGGTACTTTTGTATAGGCTTGTACCAATTGGGACATTACAAAATGTCCTCATTATAAAAGTGACATTGTTATTCTCATTATAAAGGTGTCCTCATTATAAAGAGGTTCTAATTATGCTAACTGGCAGTTCTATTCATTTCATTTTGTTATTCATTTTCTCAAATTAGCAATGAATAGATACACCATTGTGTTTTCCATAAACAATTACACACTATTAGTACTAGCATAGACACATTGGCACACAAACACTCACTGCACTATAATGTACTGGACTACAGTATAGCTAGAAAATTTGGTGGTCTAAAACTTTGATGGTTTTGATATTGGCGGTCACTTAATTTGGCGGTTTACTATCTTGTCTTTTCTTTAAGCACACTCAGCTCTTCTTCAAGCTGCTCCTTGGCAGTCTTTGCCCAGTCTTGACTTTGTGACTGAAATAGTGAGAAATACTGCCATTTTTAGTATAATGAACCTGCCCATAAAATTGCAATTATTATTGACGGTTATAATATTGGCGGTTTTATTTTGATCCGCCAAATTTAATTCTCAACCAAATGTTCCGGCTATACGGTATAATGTACTGGACTATAACATACACAACTGAGTATAACTCACTGAAATGACTACTATAGCAAAGGAATTTATAGAATTCATTAATGTACAGTAGAGTCATTACTGTACTGATACAGTAACACTACTGGGTCATGCTTCCTATGTTTGGTGATTATGCAACATTATGCAATAACCACTAATAACCACTAATAACTATTAATAACTACTAATAACCACTACAGCTGATCACTAGAGGCTACTACAGGACAGGTTATAGTTTAAGTGAAAGTCACTCAACATTGATGACAGCTGCAGCAGCAGCAGCTGACATTAAATACAATGTATATATCCTTTGCTAATAATCATTAGACACAATTGAACTCCACATCAAGCTCAAGCCCCTCCCCCTGTCCCGCCCACTCTTACCCGGCACACAGGACACAGTCAAACTCTCCAATGTCCACTCCGTTGTCCCCCAGCGGTAGGGACACTGGTGGTCTACTGGACGCTAGTCTATTGTATTCTTTAAACGACTGGACAGTGAGAGAGAGGATGGACTCCATCAGTACCTGGGTATCAGCAGTGCTGTATTTATTAGCCGAGAGTAAGTTATCTAGTGCCTAACAATAATAATAATAATAATTTCAATTAATTAATTCATTAGTAACGTCAGTTATAAGTGAAGTGAAAGTGCATTACATTCTCAATATAATTATTATATTCATTTCTTAATAATACAATTACATGTCCTTACTTGGCAGACACATTGGAGTTCTCCTCCTCCTAAATACAGTGACAGGAGATAGGCTGAAGTAGCTTCTTTGTGTTTCTTCATCTCAGAATGAGCTCTGCCTCTTCTGTAATGACCCTAAGGGGGAGAGAGAGGGAGGGACGTGGGTGAAGGGGTCATATTATGAATAAGTGGGACACTTGTATGATTATTACCGAAAATACTATTAATTAAATAAAAGATCATTAAACAGGATGGCCAGTCATGTTCTCATCACTGATCATGAGCAGCTGCCTGATCATGATCATCCGCCCGCCCTCCCTCTCCTAATCAGTAAATGAGTACAAGTCCATAACCTTTACTGACCACAGAACATGTAAACATTATAGGCAGACATGATAAGTACATGTACATATTGAACAACACAAGCACAAGTCCATGGCTTTATAATGTGTACTGCTAAAAATGTACTTCCTTATTAGCTCATCCCTTCCTTTCCTTTACCTTGGGCCAGTATGGGTGCAGTATGCAACAGTGTTCAGCATTTAATAAAGCTTCTTCAGTGCTACCCAGAGCAAGATAAGCCCGTGACATGTTACTATACACCCTATGATCAGCAAAACCTGAGAGAAAGAGAGAGAGAGGGGGGAAGAGAAAGAATAGGTCATTACTCATGATGTACATGTACATAGTAAATGTAATAATTGATGTGCAGCTAATGATGTAGAGTGGTCAGCCACCACATGTCAACTAATTAGCATAAGCACATGTGTGGAGTGTGACAGGACACATGTGTACTATACCATCTCTCTCCCCCCCTCCTCTCTCTCTTCCTCCCTCTCTCTCTCCTTACCAGTCTGTAGTGCCCTGTTATAATGAACTAGGGCAGTTTCAAAGTTATTAGATTGAGCGAATTGATTCCCTCTCTCTCTCTCTTCGCAGCAAAGACTCATCTCTGCCGGACAATGCTTGAACAAAACAGTCTGCAAGATAAACGTCGGCTGTCGTGACGACTCAAACCCCATCGGAACCCGAGGGTGAGCCTCTTGGCAACGGGAACAAGTAATAGTTTGCTTTTGAGTGTCGGCCATTCTCTGGGTACAAGACAGGCAATGGGAGTGGCCACAAGGGAGACAAACTGGTTTAATCATATGACCCTGACAAGTTGAGCAGGAAAGGAGAGAGAGAGGGAGAGAGGTTGAGGAGGGAGATGAGTCCGATGGAGTGCTGGTATCTGTTAGTGGTAACATTCTCGATAGCTCTTCTTTCATCTTAACCACCATGCTCTTGCTGTGACTGCTACAGGTCGCCATTGCTAGTAGCTTCTGTAGGATATTGGCTCCGCGGGCTTTTAAGTACTGGCAAGGTTTTTGAGAAGGAACGAGGCTCGGTAGTGGAGTCTGTCTGCTCGAGGTGGCCTGCGGGCGGTGTCTGAGTGAAGTTCCTTCAGAATTAATGACTGCTTGATAAGGAGACGAAGGGGCCGCTATAGACATACTAGCAGGAGACTTTTGTGACCCTCTCTCTACCTATCTCGAGCTCTGTCTTTTGCAAAGAAACTTTAAGGAAAGAGAAGATTATTTTTGTTATATAAGAGTAAGCTCCGCCTATTTTTACATAGCCCCGCCCATATAGTAGTGATCTAATTAACTGATTTAGTAGAAAATAATTATTTTATGTAAATAGAACTTTTACGGTATAACATCACACAATGATAAAAATTTGAATAGATATCATAGAAAAGTATGTTAAAGATTAATCATCTGCAGTTAATTGTGGGCCTCCTTTATGATAATTACCACTGATATCAGCACCACTAAAGTCAAATCCAGGATTCTAGTAAAAATTAATAATAATACCAATGATTATGTACATGTACTTTTAATGTACTACTGACTTCTTGTACTTACTTCTCTTTGAAATCTTTCCAGTGTCAGTTTCTTCTCCATTTCATTGAACACCAGTGGGTCACACTCATACTGTCCTATTAGCAAAGACTGCCAGCAGTTGGAGGCTTCTCTACCTGACTTAACTAGGACCAGTCTGATCAACTTCCTGTCCTCTGTATGATAATAATAATGATAAGGATATGGCCAGGTAAATATATTTTTTAAATGTAATGAAGATTGTAATAAAAATGAAGAATTCCCTCCTTTTCATTTTTGGCAAAGTTTGGCCAAAGTCACGGTACTAAATGTATTTTTAAAAATTAAAAAAAATATTGAGTAGCATTCAGTTTGTTTCAATTCGTCAAAAAGTAATGAAAGCCAGGACAAGTAAGAGGAGTGACTTATCAGTATGTATGTGTATAGTATACTGGCATTGCTACTGATCATGATAGTAAATAATAATGAAGAGCCTCCTCTTATACTGTAGCAAGTGCCACGTGCTTTGGTGTATGTATACTTCTCTCATTTGTTCTCACTCCTTATTCTCTCTATCCCTGAGAGAGGTTAAGGAAGCACAGAGGCTCTCTCTAGATCTCTTTTAATAATAATTTGCAGCTTGTTAATTGAATATATTATGGGCTAATATTAATTTTGGCTATGTTATGAAGTGAGACTGTCATATGCTTATAAAAATTTATACTATTATTTTCTCCTATTATGTTATATGTACCTTGCCTCTTATGCTAAGGCTAATTATAATTACTATAATTTAGCTATGAGTTATACACAAATACATATTGTCCACAGCAGTGCTAACTAGGCCAAGTGTCCTGTGATTACTAGTAGATAGTAGGTCTATTAGGCAGTTTGTTAGCAGCCAAAGCACAATGCCAAGTTGTGAGTATACAGACAATTTCTAACTAGGCCATGCAAGTATAACGGATGCAGTCCTGTGATTACTAGTAGCAGATTTATTCAGGCAGTTTGTTAGCAGCCAAAGTACAATGCCAAGTTGTGAGTATTCCATTCATTTTCACAGCTTCAGTTGCATCAAAATTATACTTGCTTTACTTCTGGTATTGACAAGGAGAAGGCTTTGTTTATTGGTCAAATTTTAGTAACAGAATCTTCAATATTTTTAGAAACTAGGTATTCTATAAAAGTAGATGATCAGATCACATTTATAAAAATCTACAAAAGAAAAAGAAGGAAAACTGAGAAACATGAAACATGTCGTTACTTTACAGTCAAGTCAGCATGTCTTTTAAAATACACTGTGCATCTGTGTATGCATGGGTTTACAATGTGACCCAATCACCAGCTACTGCTCATTACTCAGATATAAGTTGTTTACAGTGCAGTGTATCCTTGTACTGAGGTACTACAGTATAGTAGTCATGTGTAATAGGAAAGCCAACTAGTCACTATAACTTGGACTGACACCTCAACTGGACAATACTCCATTCAATTCTACAGCTTCAGGTCTCGTGCCGGAATCATGTCATGCAGCTAGCCTCTGATTGGTCAGTTTTTGCTTAATTGCTAATGAATATTGATGAGGTACCTAATAGTATATAAGGAGGTGACCAGCAGCAGTCAATCACTTCTCACTAAAACAAGAAATCATCTCACAAGAAGAAGGATACTGTCTATCAAGGAAAGGAATCATGAAGACTCTACTCTCACTCTTCTGTCTGGTTACTTACCTGACCTGTGCTCTCAGGTATGTTACTACACTATCAAATCAATGTTACTTTTCTCTTGTACATGCAGTGCTAATGGCTGGCCAGTCTCTCTTGACATGGCTTGTAATAAAGCTCTTTCTGCAGTTGCTTGCACTTTTGAGTTCACCAACGATGCAAATGAGAATCTTTATCTGCTGAAACGTGGTACACCTCTTGAAGGACTCATCTCTCGATTCATCACTGTCTCTGTTGCTGGTAGTCCTATTGAATATGATGGACCATTTGTTCATCGTCTTCCTCCTACAAAGGATGAGTTTGTTCTCTTGAAGGCAGGTGAGAGTATTTCTACAACAGTCCAAATCACTGATGCCTTTAGCATTGATACTGATGGTCTCTACACTGTACAATACAGTAGACCTTTACAGTATCTGTCAGTGGATGAGATGAGTGAATTGTCTAATGGCCTAATAATGGAATCAACAGTACAGGAATCTATTCACATCTATTTGGAGGACACTCGTGTTCTCCTAAAACCAAGGGGCCCAGAGGAAACAGATAAAGTTGACTACACTGTTAACATCGAATCCTGCAGCAGTGCTAGCTTTGTCGGTGGTACTGCAGCAAACAACAAAGGAACACTTGATGCTCACAAAAAGCTCTGCAGTGGGATCGATAAAGTAAATATTGGTAATAATACTCTGTATGTGAAATGGTTTGGGGCTTTCACATCAGCAAGGGAAACAAAAGTAAAGGATGTCTATAAGAAAATAAGGGATGGATTGGCAGGTAAAACAGTTACTTATGTGAATGGTGGCTCACATTGTGCACCTAGGATGTATGGCTATACCTGGAAAGGTGTCACTAAGGTTCATGTTTGTGATCTTTTTTATACATTTCCTGTTTCTTGTGGAAGCCCTGGTACTTACACCAAGGAGTTTGGATTGATTCATGAATGGAGTCATGCTTTTGGTTACACTGATGATGTTGTGTATGGCTCCTCTCAAAGTCAAGATTTAGCTAAAACCAATCCTGATAAAGCAGTTAAAAATGCTGATAGCTACGGATGGCATTACTGCGAATCTCAGTAACTGGATCAGACCATTCATCAAAGCCAAGAACTTAAGATTAGGACTCATGCAACACTATAGGACATGCACTTTTCTTTAATAAATAATTGTAATTAATTATCACATTTTCGATTTCTTGGCTTAATAAATAATAATTTTCAAAAATTTGTACAGTACATGACATTGCGAGCTTTACAGAATGCACCATTGATGCACTGATATTGATGACCTCAAACTTTAACAGGATATATCATATTCATTTACATATGAATCATGTCACTGTTCATGATATTAGCCAGCATGAGTCAAGCTCTTGCTTAACATTATTTTTGGTAACAGCATTGATGCTGTGATTGAACTTCATAATTAGATCTTTGTTGTGTTTTGTCCATAAAATTCAAATCTACATAAACCAGCCACAAAGTACAATGTCTTATGACATTTTGCTCCACTTGTACTTCTAAATTCTCCAGCTTCATTAGTATGTGCTGATTAACTACCCTCTCCTCCTGTTATCTGTCTCTCTCTTTCTCTTTTCTGGTAAGTATAGGAGCTCGTTTTCCCGGTATAGCAAGGCTGCAAAAGTCATGGCAGCCATATTGTTTTGGGGTGAATCCTACTTAGTAACGCTACCGCATTAGTAATAGTACAGGGACTTTTTCTGATTTTAGTGAAACTTTTAAAATTTGTAAAAAATGAAATTTTGATCGGAATCAGCTCAAACTTTCTACACAGCATAAGTACATGTATATGCATCAGAAAATGTACTGAATTCTCTCCTGAGCTATTTTCCATGACATACCCTGTACTATACAAACTTATACTATTTTTTGCTATTCCTCTCACCTAATGTCCACACAGACTCATCGGCAACAATATTTCCCGCCAATTTGCCCTGTAAAAGTCACGTGATCAGTATTAATAACATTATGTTACAATACCTCGAATAAAAGCTCTCCAGAGACCCTCAGGCTCAATTTAGAAGGTGTTATATTAAATTTGATGTCCTTGCTCCTGGTCCCTTCCCTAACGTTCACTTCAATGAACACCTCGTCTATAGTCTGGGACCAGGAACCCCACGGGGTAGCACATGGAACGAGACCAGACTTCTCGTCAAAATGAGCCATTTTATCATTAATAACTAGCACCTTTATTAACTTTATGGGCGTGTCCAATCAATTAATTAAGTGATCTTGATAATTGATATTCAGTGAAATAAGTGATTAGTGCAATGATATTAGTTAATAGAGCTCAGCTCATATATAGAACAGTTCAATAGTTTGATAGTAATTTATTATTGTCATTATTCATTATTTATAATCTAATGGAGTTGATCATTGGACTGGAGTGTAATGAATATCGGGGAGAAGACATCTTTACTAGTGGTGGACTGAAGAGGGAGAGAGGAAGGGAGAGAGAGGAAGGGAGAGAGAGGAAAGTTAACTTATACATCAAAAGTTTTAAGACAATAAAGTACACCATATGAGTGCTTAGTTATAGAGAAAGAAAGAATATCAAATTCTGAGGTAGTTTTAGTTCAAAAGACATTCCTATATCAAATTAAAGGTCTCACTGTAGCTCAAATTGACCTATTAACTCTCACTCTATTGTAGAAGTACTGTACATATGCACATGTACTTCAAGTTTACATGAACATGCAGTACATTATGTTATAGTTACCGTTGATGTGAATAGCTTCCATTGCTTCCTAGTTGTGATTGAAAAGCACTTAATGATAAAGGAGCTGATAGCCTTCTGGAATATAATAAACAAATAAATAAACAAACAAATAAATAAATAAATAAATAAATAAACAATACTGGTGTTTATTAACCTTTCATTGATCGTGGTTTGATTAGAAGTAGGAGCAACTGACATTGGAGCACTACAAATAGACAGAGATACATTATAATGAACATTCCATACACTGTACTCTATTGTGGTTATAGTCTATATACATGTAGAATAGAATGGGATTAAAGGTGGTTTAAATTCAGTGAGCACAAAAATAACAGAAACTATCCTGCATACAGCACATGGTGATTAATGTCACTCTTCTTTACAATGGACTGTTACTGATTACAGTATCATTTACATGTACATGTACTGAACTAACTCTTCATGTCTTGGAGAAGCACTTGATAATAATCTTGAACTACGAATAACACCTTGAAACAACAACAACAACAATAATAATAATAATAATAATAAATTAATAATAATAAATTTAATTACCCATCTTCCCATTAATGGGTGGTGTCCTTATACTCAGTCTTCCAGGAGGAATCAATGAATTTAATACTCTCTAAAAGTAACAATACCATCAATAAATTATACAATTATCATCAAATAATCCTCTCATTCACATGTACCAGCCTCTCATAAAACACATGAACTATAGCCCATGGTTTTTTCCAAAAAATAGGTCCGAAATCACCCCAAATTTTTATTACATTTTCTAATACATATTGATGCCCTTATGCTGTGTAGAAAGTTTGAGCTGATTCCGACTCCAATTTTTCAAGTTATGGCCATTTTAAGAAAACGCCAAAATTCTGAAAAATACCCAAGGCTATAGCCCATGGTTTTTTCCAAAAAATGGCTCCAAAATCACCCCAAATTTTTATTACATTTTCTAATACATATTGATGTCCTAATGCTATGTAGAAAGTTTGAACTGATTCCAACTTCAATTTTTCAAGTTACGGCCATTTTAAGAAAATGGCAAAATTCTGAAAAATACCCAAGGCTATAGCCCATGGTTTTTTCCAAAAAATGGCTCTGAAATCACCCCAAATTTTTATTACATTTTCTGATACATATTGATGTCCTTATGCTGTGTAGAAAGTTTGAGCTGATTCCGACTTCAATTTTTCAAGTTACGGCCATTTTAAGAAAATGCCAAAATTCTGAACATGTACAAGCTACTGTATAGCGGGTATATTCCGTTCGAGTTTAATTTCGTTCTCATTCCTTGTGGAACGAACATTTTCCAAATGAAAAGGGCGTTTCCTCAATGCCATGTGTACAAAATGGCTGCTCAGAACGAAAATAAAACGAACAAAAATTTCTAATCCTGCTTAGAACGAACATTTTCCCAGACGAAATATACTCGCTATACGGTAACTATACATCCAATATACATGTAACTGTAATACCTTTCCACTGGGAGGTCTCATTGATTCAGTCTCAAGTTTCCTCTTCTCACCTCCTCCTCCTCTTGAGGCCCCACCTATAGCCCCGCCCCTTTCCTGAGCCCTTGCTCTAATGCAGGATAAAACTGCTGAGTCATTGACGGCCGGCGTCATGGCAACAGTTGGTCTCCTAGCAACAGCAGAGGATACAATGGAGGGTGATATGTAGGGGGTACTCTCCCCAGAGCTACCCGACCGCCTTATTGATGATTGGAGTGGGTGTGGTCTAGAAGTGACACGCCCACTTTCTTTTGGAGTGACTCTCCTTCCTCCAGTTGGTGAGGGATGAGTTGGTTCAGGAGGAGGAGGAGGTTGAAATGACCTTGTATCTGATGAAACAGTAACCTATTAATAATAATAACGATAATAATTGGAGAATTCTCTCCTTTTCATTTTGGTAAATTTTGACACAAGACACTGTACTACAGAAATTAAAAAAAAAGATTGAGTAGGATTCACTCTGTGCCAACTCGTCAAAAAAGTAACAGAAACAAGGACAAGAAGGATTCCAAACAACTGATTATACCCATACAAAATGAAAATACAAAATGATAGTCCTACTCTCATAATGCAAATTCTACTCTACCTTATAAAGTGATATGTATTTCCTTACATAATTACATTAAAAGTACAATGTACAGGGACTTTGGCCCGATATTTGAGAAACTTAATTACAACATGTCCTTACTGGAGTATTGGTTCCTCTCATTGGAAAGGTTGTTAATGTATTGACTCGGCCCACTGGTCTATCTGCTAGTGATGGAGGAGCACCACATGATGGTGGTAGGGTCATCGATGGGTGTGGCCTCGTGAAACTAGGCGGAGTCTGTATGGGACCATACCCAGTTCTTAGTATTGAAGGAGGAGGACGTAAGGTAGTAGAGTTTGATGATGAAGGAGGAAAGGAAACAGATCTTGATTCCAAATAAGGGAGGAAGGGAGAGAGAGAGAGAGAGAGAGAGAGAGAGAGAGAGAGAGAGAGAGAGAGAGAGAGAGAGAGAGAGAGAGAGAGAGGTTAAAATGAAAAGAGAAAGGTAGTGTTCTAGTTAATACTTACATTCAATTTAATTTGTCTCAGTCTAGCATTTTCCCTATAAAATAAATTAATTAAGTAATTCATTAATTAATTATACACAATAAGTTACTTTTCATTTAACAATAACTCCCTCTCCTTTCTTTCAGCAACCTCCCGCAACTAATAATGGTTAATTAATAGTTAATTAATTAAATAATAGTTAATTAATAACTAACCTTCTGTATTTTATGTTTTACTAATCTAGTCCTCTGCTCCCTTTGAAATTTAGATACCTAATAAAAGTACATGTAATAAATACATGTGGGTGTGGCATTGATTGGGTGTGGTTTAAATAGTTGCCCATATATGGTCATACATGTAGTCATATACATATGTACTCGTTCGAATTGGAAGATGAATCTCTGTATAATGGACTCAGGAGTGTGGAAATATATCATGACATCTGGTGGAACCTTTAGAGGGAGAGAGAGAGACAACAATCAATTAATAATACTTAATTTTTTACTTGTTTTGATAGATCAACTACACTACATGATGCCTTACATACCAGACAAAACTTCTCTCTCTTGCCTAAAAATACAAAAATCCAAACGTTCATAGATTCATGTCAATACCATAACATTTCCCACAGAAAAGATGACCACACGACGTTATAATGAACTGAGTGTTCCTTCTATCCTTAGGAGGCTCGGTATAGCAATGATTACAATGGATCCAGTCTTTAACATTCACTACAGCTGGCCCTGCTCCCGCCATTTTATTAAAATGCAATTGGATGGGTGTGGTTTTATTGATTTATGAATTTTAATGAGCAATAGTCTGCAAGCTGAAAGGTGTGGCTGAAATGCTTTAATGTATCGGAAGCAAACAGAAAATAGTCAAGGATGTGTCTTTCAAACTCTCTCTCTCTCCTTTCTTTATTGTTGTTATTGTTAAATAGTACAGTACAGTCTAATGATTGTAGTACTGAAGGATTTATGGAACTAAGTTTACTGGTGGCTAAAACTGGCAGTACTAACAACAATGGACCAACTACTGCAGGACTAGCAGAATCAGTAGAAACAAGATGGATCATCACTGAAGAAGATAAGGAATTCAGTAAGAATTGCATGAGTTCACTGACTGGAGTATTAGTTGGAGTTGACATTAGAACTGAAACTGGTAACAGGACTGAATATCCTAGAATAGAGATATGGAGGGAAGCAAAAATGCATTATAGAGACCGAGTATCTGTTGAACTTAGATTATCTCGACACAATTTCACTACCAATGGACTGTATCGTGTTACACTACCTACTCCTTTGAATATTAGGGAGCGGACAGGTAGTGGCACCAAAGGTTACAGACTAGGAGTATATCAACCTCCTGATGATAGAAGTGTTGTTAGATTTTATAAAGTAACTGGAACTGGTCAAATTGGAAGAGTAGCTGATATTGATAGTAATAGGGTTGACAAAGATAAAGATGATGAAATAGCAACAGAAACCTCAAGTATCCTAATACATCCAATTACATTAGGTATGTCATTAATGAAATGTATTTATTATTTTAATGTATTTATAGGTAACAGTTGCAGTTATCCTCCAATTGACAGTTTATTTAATCCAAACAGTCTATCAGTTACTAATGTAATACCAGTCAATGATACAAGAGCTTTTCCTGATATACAGTTCACATGTAATGGTATTATTACTAAATGGATAATTGGTATTACACAGAATCAGGATACAAGCAAACATTATCCTAACATTTATTTAAAACGTTCTTCTGAGCTGATTCATGCACTAACTGTTGATGCTTCTGCTGCTACATCAAGTAATGGTAATGTATATAACTTTACAAGTGATACTGAAGTAGAGTATGGAGATATATTAGTAATCAATGTAACCACTAATAGTAATCCAATGTATTATCAACAATACAATGGACCATTGAATTATAAGCTTGATGATAGCAGTAATGGATTAATACCATTGGAACATAATGACTATCCACTGGTATCAGTTGTAGTAGGTAAGTAATGTATTGTCATTGAGTAGTAATTAATAATTGGCTTTGTTGTTCCATGTAGGGCCAAGTCCATCAATACCAGGAACTCCCTCTACTACTACTATCATTACTACCGATATTATCCGTACACAAATAACAAACTCTTACACTCCAGGTGCTACTACAATAACAACAACTACTACTCATATGAACATAGCACCCACTACCTTGTTGCAGTCTACATCATCATCATCATCATCCTTGATGACCAGGTCCTCCACACAAACTCAATCAATAAACAATACACTTCACATCACAAACACACCTTCTCAATCATCAAATACTCTCCCTCCAACTCTTCCTGCCACTAGTGCTACTCCATCAATCAGTGATGGTACAGTCAGTCCTACTCCTCCTCCTATAGTATCAACCATCAGTAGTACATCAGTTACTGATAGTTCAACCAGTAATCCATCAGTTACACTATCCACTGAAGGTCAAAGCAGTACAGGGAGTAATACACTAGCAGCAGTACTTAGTACAGTATTTATATTCCTGGTAGTTACTATACTAGTAATATTAATAGTGAGTGTATTAGTGTATAAAAGACGACACCAAAAGCTATCATCAAGAGGTAATTATCAAATGAATACACGTTCAACTGAGAAAAAGACAGAACTGAATAACATGTCTAATCCTACCTACCAAGCACAAGGTAATACAATGCATTATAGCTTTTACTATTACTATAGATTCACTAGTGATATCAATAACAGCAATCATTACATACTACATTATAACACTATTACTACATCATTTTGTTATAGATATGGGCCCAGTTCTATATGAAGAGGCAAAGCCAGTAATGAATGGAATAGAATCAGTGTACAGTGATACAATAGTTACTAATGATCGTTATGCAGCTGCTACAGGTATAGTCATAAGTTAGCTTAAATATATTTGTATAAATGTTATTTTATTCCTTATACAGGTGTAAGTCCAATGCCAGCGCTTTATGAAGAACCAACAATAACTATGAAAAGACAACATAAAGTAGAATAATAATAATAATAAACATTAAACCCAATAATAATGAATGCATAATTAATGTTGTATGTCATGCTGTAACTAAATCAGTTTGTTAATCACTACTATGTTTTAGACTATTGATCAAATTGAAAATGAAACTTATAATCTATTAGCAGAAGCACTCTATGTTCCTACAGCTGTATGTTATCTGTAATCATGAATGATAATAATTTAATGTGCTAATGAAATTTAGAATGAACATTTGGGTGGAGGAAAACAGCAACAAGACATTTATTCCACATTGATGAATGAGCAGGTACAAAATACATAATATTAGATATAGTTTATATACAAATGATGCATACAGAATACTAAAACACACATAATTTTATTTTTAGTATTCCTCCACATATTCAAGACTTGATCATACTGGGAGTAATGCATTCTTTATAGAAGATACTGAGTACTGGGAACCTGATAGTAATACTGATGGTATATACCAACAATTATCTGATAGGAAATACAGAGAAATTATAAGACACCAAATAAAGTAAGAGAGAGAGAGAGGAAGACATAATGTCAACAGTAACATGTATGGCTTCATGAATATGTACACATTCTCACTCCAATAGAGTAACAGATTATTTAGGATCAGGACAGTTTGGTACAGTTAATAAAGGAGTATGGACTACACCTACTGCTGGATCAGTCTCTGTTGCTATTAAAACACTTAATGATAATACTTCAGAGGATGAGAGAGTAAAGTTTCTACAAGAGGCAGCCACTATGGGTCAGTTTCATCATCCTAATGTTGTTAAACTACATGGAGTGGTCACCATTGGACATCCTGTGAGTCTGTAGTATTACTAATGATTGTACTCTTTAATAATTATTAAATGTTGTACATAGATAATGATAGTACTGGAACTGATATCTGGAGGTGACTTGAAAGAGTATCTTAACAAATTTAAACCATCGTAAGTTTATATCAATAGTTGGACTAATATCTCTTGTCTCTCTCTTCTCTTAGTCCTGGGGAGTTAGTATTATCATCAGTTCCTTCTATTTTGCTCTCATCTTGTCGTCAAATTGCTTC